GCGGCCAGCGAACGGAGGCTGGGTTTTGGGCACAACATGCCAGAGCTGTCAAGAAACGGTGACGATGGAGAAGAGAGCCTGGCCTGACGGCTCTGTGCAGCCCAAAATTTGAGAATTGGCCAAGTTTGCCCCTGGTTTGCTCACGTGGGCGCAGGCCGCGGCCACGGCTGCGGGCTCTTCGACAAAGAATCCGTTGGGTGGAGGTCAGCAGGGATTGCCGGCACCGCGACTCACACAAAAGCCGCCGAAGGACAGGCTCCACCTCGCTCTTCTTGACCTTGTTCTACATCCTCCTAGCCTGCCCTACTGTCTTCCAAAGTTTTGAAGGTACCCCCTTTTCAGTGGCACAGTATGACAGCATAAGCTGTGCAGCTTTCCTCCCAGCAGGAGGAGTCCCACAAGCAGCCGGCAAAGCCGCAGGACNNGGGGGGGGGGGGGGGGGGGGGACGGACGCTTCAGGTTACATCATATAAATTTAGTACATATCATAGTGTACGGTACACTTGCATATTATACCATACTGCTCTGTATTCTAGCTGATTCTAGCTATGTATGTATGTCCGCATGTGTACATGTCTGTATGTAAAATTACATATACATAATATATATGTATATATATACATATATATATATGTGTGTGTGTGTGTCTTGATTGTAGTACTTACTACAAAGAAAGAAAGCAACCAACGAGACAAGGAATGGGATGGGGTGAGATGCATATATGAATGAATGTATGAGGGAAGGAATGGATGAAGAAATAAAGGGTATAATGATGATGCAAGGAATGAAAAACAAGAAATACAAGAAGAAATGAATGGAATGGGACGGATGAAGGAATGGAAGGAATCAAGGAATGAATGAATGAATGAAAGTGTGAATGAAGTGGAATGAGTGCCACGGAATGAAAGGAATGGAACGGAATGGAAAGCATGAGTGAATGAAAGGGAATCAGTGTTAAAACGGAGGCAACGACAGTGACGAAAGATATGGACATGAAACGAGTGTGACGGCACGGGATGAGTGAAATTGACATGAACGAATGGATGAACAAATGAGTGGATGAAGGGAAGTCTGAATGAATGGAATGGAATGGAGTTGAAGTGAAATGAATCAGAATGAAACGAAGTGAATGGATTGATTGAGCGAATTGAATCAGCGCTGAATGAAAGGACTGAAAGAATGAGTTCAAGACAGCCTTGGACATGAAATGAACGGAACGGAATGGACGACATGAATGACTGACTGACGGACTGACTCAATAAACGAGTGAATCAGTGAATGAATGAATGAATGCATGAATGAATGGATAAAGAAAGGCATGGCATGAAATGGAACGGAATGGAAAAAATGAGATGACATGAAATTACAGATCACTTGAAAGAATGGAACAATGCATGCATGCATGGATGGATGGATGGATGGATGGATGGAAGGGGAGGGAAGGGATGACGGAGTGGAAGGATGTATGAACGAATGAATGATTGCGTGAAACATGCGCACATGCATGCATGAACGAATGAAGGGATCGATGAATGACTGAATGGACGGAACACTGAATACGAACAAGCTGACATACAGACATACAGGCATACAGGCTTACAGACAGACAGATAGACCTACATGCATACCTACCTGCATGCAAATCAGGTCTATACCTTTGGAGGAACCCGGCCCGGGTTCAAAGAGCTAAGCCGGACTTACGATGTTGCACATATCAGGCTCCGAAGTATTCCCCGGAACAAGCTTGAAGCATCATGTTAGTTGACCTGCATAAATGCCGCTTGGGAATCAAGTAGGACTAAGAGCCGAACGAACGTAGCCTGGACCGTGAATGACCCTAATTTTTTAGGAATCCCACAGCTACCCAACACCGGAAGCAAGCAACAAAAATCTCCCCACCCCAAACACTGTGTGCGAGTGTGAGTGTCGAAAACACAAGAAGCTGCATGTCTCCAGGAGGAGGAGGCCAAGCGACAGCAGGAGAACCATCGGCCTCCGCGCCTGTCAGCGCCGCAAGAGCCTTTGGCCTTCTGGCCCATGCAGACGGGCCCTCAAGGTGCCAGAACGACAGCGAGCATAAAATCAGGTGGTTGTAGTCTAAGGGTGGTTGTATCAGAGTTTCATGAGGGATAGGGTACATGTTGAGGTTGTCCATTCGGTCGGAGGTGGTAGGGCTTAGGCGCAGGTGTTAATGACAATAGTATTCCGTTCTCTGCAGTGAAGTTCATGTGAGCCAACCACCACTTTCGAGCCTCTGCAGGTGCGGGAACCGTCGCGGACCAACCTGCTGAGCCTGTGGTGGAACCTGAACCACTCCTGGAGCTGACGCACGTCTTGAACATGGTGGCCCCACGTCCACAAATACCACCCCCATCCGGTGGGGTCAGCAACACGTCAAAGCTTCAGACACCATCAGTTGCAGCAGATCTCTTGGTGCAGTCGGCGCTGCGCATGCAATGGCCGGCTGACAAGAGGAAGCTCGCACCAAAGGACGCAGCAAGCACATGCCGCGAAGCGGCCGGTGTCCTACAAGAAGCCATCAATCAGCTGTCCTCAGCTGCCAATGTCCTCGAATGCGGTGGAAGTGGTGTGCGAGAGGTTGCGAAGACTTACTGCGCCGAGACTAAGCGCCGGAAGACTTATGCAGGACCTGCAGTTCCCGGCGCCGTCTCGCCACCTGTAGGGGGGAGTGGCAGCGGCAGCACGGTCAGCAGCTTGTCACGAGCACCCGCCGCACCAGCTGTTTATCGTGGGAGCCCTCCCATGGTGCGGACCACCGGACTGAGAGTTTGAACGAAATTCCGCTTGTCCTGCCAATTAAGCTAATTCGTTCTTAGAACCTTGCTGGCCATCGGCTTATTCGTAAGCTAGTGGAAAGCAGAGCTTGCTCTTGCACTGCAGTCTTTGCATTTGCCAACTGCAAATGCTGCTAATTCAGAGAGCTGCGGTAGGCCCGAAACAGTGGACACTCCCTGTGCACCACATCCAGGGACTGAGGCGTAATCTCAACCCGTTCAACCCGGACCCCAACGACAGGCTTAACAGAAATGCCCAACCCTTGGCGCGATGGTGGAGGCCATCCGCACTTTAGTGAGCCATGGTGGCCGGACTGGCGTTTTGCGGATCGACAGCAAACCGAAGACCGATGTTCGTTTGCCTGCATCGCCCAGCCCCGACTTAGGGTTTCTGCTTTGCAACCTTCCCAAGAATGCACGCCGCTGCAACGGCCACCCGCACCACCACCCAAGCTCTCCAAATGACGTCCGACAGGGCCACCTGACCGAGTTCGCCTGGCCAGATGCCCAGACCGAAACCATCGCGCTCGGCGCCGGATTAGGGTTCAAGGGTGAGGGGGCTTCAGGGTTTAAGTCACGGACGAAAGAGAACATTAACCCGAGGTTTGCCACGACAAGCTTGGCGCAATTGTGCGTATGTGTGTATACATATGTACATATATGTATACATACCAACCTACCTACCGACCTACCTACCACCGACCGACCTACCCACCGACCGACCTACACACACACACACACCTACACGCAACAAAAACACACACATAGAGACATACACACATACACACACACACATCCATCCATCATGCATGCATGCATGTATACACATACATACATACCTACATACATAGATACGTACATACATAGATACATACATAGACACATACATACACATACACATACACATACACATACACATACACATACACATGCACACACACACATATACAGATACATATATACATATATACATATAAACTTAAAAAACATATAAACATTTAAACATATATACACATACGCAAGCACATACACATACATATACATCTACATACACATACTCATGCCCATGCACATGCACATACACGTACACATACATATACATACATATACATACATATACATACATATACATACATATACATACATATACATACATACCTACATACTTACGTACTTACTTACATACAACATACATACATACATA